AAACGATGAAGAAACGTCAACGCTCTAAAACTAAGCAGAAACTGTTAAATGAGCCGAAACATGCAGGCCCCTCGAAGAACTTGAAGAAAATGTATAAAAACACTCAAAAACAGTCAAAAAGTTTTCCAAACTTCGATGACCTGGCTGAATCAAAAGTGTGCAAGCGCTCAGCCAAACAAAGTCAAAATCTGCTTACGGATTATAAATTTGTCCGAAAATGTGAAGACAATTCACAAAACAAATGAAAAATTACCAATATCTACTAAGCACGCAGGTGCTGAAGTACGAGATTTAACGTTTAGATAAATGTTTGCATCAAAGAAGACTAAACGACTTTTTCGGAGAAGAATCAGAAAGAAGCACAAGAGCGTGATGGCGGACGGAGAAGCAATGAAGTTCTCGGCTTTTTTACACTATTTCCAGACCAAAAATGAATACCAGTTCAATGCCATTTTCTTGCAGGGCATTCCTCCAGGCGCACGCGAATTCGGAGTTATACGAATCCTTCATGAAATGTCCAAAGGTCGAACCAGCCTCTCTCAATATTCCCACAAATTTCGTAAAATTCGCTTTATCTTTGTCCACCTAAAATAAAATTAGCTGCGTGGAAAACACAGAGAGCGCTGTCTTGGCCCCAAAGAAAGATGGCGAGGATGCTGAAGGCAATTAAGAAAATGGCATTCCTGCAAATCAAATTCCTACATTCCTACTGTCCTTAACTTACTACCATGCGCAAGCAACTGATGTTCTGCGAAAAACTTAAGTTTGAACATACCAGTTTTCAAGCTGTTTCAGCGCCGATGCGTGGAAGGTGCAAAAAAAAAAACCCCGCCCCAACCCTCAGCATTGAAGAAAAGATGAAGAAGCAGAAAGAACAGAAATGACTTCATCCAACTGCTAGTCAGTTTCAAAGTGTGAAAACCCCAGACCGCAGAAACTCAACGAACCCCAAAATGTCACGATGCAATACCAGCAATTGTATTAAATAAAATTTCAGTTACTATGTCACATATACTGTTCCGTGAAGAAGTGCTCAGGAAAGTGTCAAAAAAGCACGCCTGCGGATCGAAATAAAGAGAACTTAGCTGCAGCGCTGCGGCGGTGGCATCAAGGACCGAGAAAAAAAAAATGTCTGTTTTGTGCAAATGATGAGAGATGCTTACTTTGTCACGAGTCATAAGGCTGATCGGTGGCACCACACCACTGGCCTCCTCACTTTCGATCGGCTCAAAAAACTGCACTTTTCGCGCACTGCTTAAAAAATAAATCCGTTTTCTGGTGAAGACGGAAAGCAGGTCGCTCATTTCGAAGCCGAATAGCCAAGTCTGAAAATTAGCATCATGAACCATTCCTGTCACTAACGAGGGACAGAGTCGTAAGAAGAATCGAACGGAGCATGGGCCAATTCAGTAAAACTTCATGTTTGGAGGGCAGCGACAAGCTGCACTGCCAGAAATCTCCATTACGGCAAACGGAACGATTTCGGTACCTGAAGTGCGTTCGATTTGGAGTACTGCGGAGCATCTTCGTCGCTGCCGACCATAAAAACGAGAGCATCCACCTTCGCGAGAGCCTCGTCGTAACCATTGTGCTGGAAATTTACAACAAAGCACTTAAAAGGCAATACTCACAGCTGGCAATACTCGCCCCACAGCTAGCTCCGGACATTAACAGTGCACGCGCAACACAAGTTTTCGAGCGAGGAAAAATCCGAATTTTGCGAACTCAACGGCGAGAGAGAGGGAGAAAGTACAGTGCAGCGCAGAAGAGAGGCACGCTGTAATCGACTCACCCAAAACGTGTAGAGCGCATCGGCTCGCTTCAGGAACGTCTCCTTGCGAATGCTCAACCTCTTCTCATTCATCGCACGATCCACTACGTCCGCGAGTTAATTCCTGAATTGCACGCTACACAGATTACGGTGCTCACAAAGCCGGCCATACTAAGTCTCGGAGTGGACGAGGGACTGCTGCTCCCCACGCGAAACGCCCCGGCCCCCTCTCCGAGGCAGCCCTGGCAGTGCTCAGTCTCGAACAAAAGATGCCTTACTGGGCAAGCTAGGCCTGTCTGGCCAGCGCACAACTATTCCCATGGATACAAGGGAACCAGGAGAGCCGTTGCTGCTCAAACACATGCCAATACACAGAGAGAGAGAGAGAAAGAGAAACGCCAAAACCAGAGAAACGAGGGCAAAATTCAGGATACCAAACTGAGATCCTGCAAAAAGCCCGGAGCATCTGACCAGACAGGCATGCACCGAAATCACAACAAACTAATTATGCGAAAGAAGAAAAAGCATTTTCCATCCTGAAACACAAAATTAGGAAAACAATGCCTGCCCGCGGCCTACGCCACACGAATACCTGGTCCTAGAAATACCTCACCCAGTACATCGCTACTCACCCCTATCCCCTCCACCACCCCTCCTCACCACGCCACACATCCTCCTTTACCCCCGCCTCATCACCCCCAAATACAAATAAATAAATGCCCCGCCCTGTCCTCACTTCGTTCAGGAGCGATGAACGCTGTGCAACTCGCCATCCACTGTTTATATGAAGGATGCACCGAAGCCAGCTTCACTGCCTTCGTTGCCACCAAAGACTCGAACTGTGGCTCGACCTGTGGCCCGAGAATCAAAGAGGCTAGAAGCCGGGTATCGGAGGGAAAAATAACCAAGTAAATGCGGATAACTGGCTCCCACAGTCACCCGCTCATTATCTTCATAGGCGAATCCAGGACGGACTCCTAAAAAGGGGAGGACGGGAGAGGGGAGCCGACGGCAGGTGGGAGGAAGAGCGGGGCTACTGGGAGGAGGGACCAGGGGGGATGGGGCGGAGAGCACCCCCCAATTTGGAATTATGCAAAAACTAGAAATAGAGTTGTAACAGGTTACTTACAGTTAGAGTTACTTTAGGCTTTAGTTTTAGCTGTAGACTCGGGCCTTTGCAGCGCTGGTGCCTGTGCCGCTGGGCAAAGGGGGGCGAAAGACCCATCGCCTCCTTTTCCCTGGATCTGCCTGTGCATATCTTGCGCAATTAATTCAGGCCCATTTTTGAGCTAATTTGTCGATTCAGAATGCAAGAAGCAAGAAATCCAGAATTTTCGAGCTTCCATTAACACAGTAAGGCGAAGGTGCAGGCTCTGCGGGTCATTTCTTTGACCTGCACACTTCCGATATTATAACAACAGTTTAAAGTGGATCGTGAATCCGGAACTGTGCTGTTTTCCAAGTGCGAATACAGGCAGCCTGTGGTGAAGCCTTGTAGCTAGTGGCGCACTCACTAGCTGGTCCCAAGCGCAGTCTGCATTGCTAGAGAACCTGACAATGTTATTTCAAGTACGGGATCCTCATACACATCTATGCTGAAGTGCGTGAATGAAAATCATGTGTTCAACACAGAGCTCGAGTATCAGTCCATTGAGCCAGTTGATACTTCAGACGAACACTACAGACTGCCAATGAGTTGGGCATCGAGCTAAGCAAAAAAGAAGTACGGGTAGGCTCCACCAAGCTGCTACAGACACGTTTTCAAACGGTCGGCCATAAAAATGCTATTTTACAGTGCCACTGTACCAGTTTTACTATATAACTGAGGCAAATGACAATTTTCGCTAACGGTAAGAATTAGCAGCGAACGAATAAGCTGGCGCAGGACCCACGGTCGATGCGCAGCGCCTCTGAACTGCAATAAACGGTTCTATTAAGATGGTGTGCGCCAGAACGAGATCCGTTCGTGTGATCAGGATGAGAGGTGTATGTTGTGTGGTGCCCTCACACTGAGGAGTGTGAATGGAAGTGAGGATTTAGGACAACTGTTAAAACTCGGTTAGGCCGGGTCGCCTCGGCCGGATCGGGACTCGAGTTGCAGTGGACGGAAGGTGGGGAGATACGAGGCTGGAGGCGATGGGAGGCAGGGATGGGCAGTGAGGGCCGGGGTGGTGGTTTTCATCTCAGACGTTGTAGCGGGAAGAAAAGGACGGGTTACTGAATTATTAACTGGAAAGAAGCTGACACTTCGCTTGAAGATAGGAATTGGAAACAGGGACGAGGTTTACAAAGGACAATGCCTATGTGGCTTTTTTATGCTGAGCATGAAACTTGTTATTGAAGGAAAGTTGGAATTTTAAAGTTAATATTTAGAAACTCACCCGTACACAATACTCGGTGCTACGATTTCCGCTTCCCTCAGCACAAAGTTTTATCCTGAGTATAAATAACCCACGAGGACATCCCCCATAAAATCCAACCTTCCTACTCCAGCCAAAATCTCAGCTCCTTTCTGGTCAATAAACCCGCCTCCTCCCACCTCTCCCCCACCTTATGGCCCTTAGAGCCTAAAGCAGCACCCTTCTCTCTTGTCTCCCTCCTCTCTCCACCTTCAGCGCCCTATCCCCGCCGTTGATCACTGCAGCCTGTCCCCTCTCGCTAACCCGACCAAGTCAAGCTGAGTTATGGTAGCTACTCTGTAATCGGACATGCTAGAAAGCCGAAATTTCACAAGACTCTACGGTGCAATACCTCCGGCTCAGCCGATAGTATTCTCCCTTAGTCGCGGAAGAAAAGGAACTTCAACAACTAACAGGAACATCACCAATTGAGTACATGTATCAAACTGTTAAGCAGTGAACGCTCTTACTGCTAACGATTTCAGTGGTTATGCAAAACAGTGCAGAAACGCAAAATCAACGATAGTGTGTGCCGCTTATTATCTTTTCACGATGAATTCGCACTGTTCGTTGCTGCAGTGAAAATTTACTTAAAAACCTCCCTACCGTATTATTGGGCTCCTTTGCAGTTGTTAGGAATTGGCTTTGTCCTGTTTTGTTCTGCTGAAGCATATTGGCACTGTTGTCTAACTCTATTGCACACATAAATAAAATGTGCACCTACCGCAAATGACACACCAATGGTATTGATTTCTCTGGAAAAATAAATATCTGAAAGTGTTTCTCTGGCGGATCGATCAAAAGTTCCATCTATACATCAATTAGCAGCAGTCTTTGTACTGCGTGAAAAGTTTCCCAACTCTCAAAATAAATTCGACTTTCCTGCAAAAAATTTCCTTCCATCATGATGCATGTGCATATACGTATGAATACATGAAAGTCATACA